TAGCAGGCGGCTTGACGTTTGCGAGGCACTACACATCAAGAAGTCAACACCAGCAATCAACAGCCAATTATTGCACAACTATATTCTACCCACCTCAAGACTCCGCTCCAATATAGAAGCATCAAGAAATATGGACCAATAGGCTTTCTACAAACACTTCTATTCAATATCCATTGTTTCGTGTTCTGTCTTGTGTTGATACTTTTAATACCCTATTAATATCCTCTAATGCCACATCATCCTTCCCACCTCACTCAAATGTAATGCCACATCACCCTTCCCACCTCACTCAAATGTAGATATAAAATCAGGGAAACGCAAGTTCTAATCAGTTGTGTATTTGTGAAGTCTTTGAAAATGTAATAAGTTTTACGAAACGTGCCCGTGTCGCGTCAGACTAGAAATAAAAATGAATTTTGGAGAAGTGATTTTTGATTTACCTCCAACAGTGAAGCATAATGTACGAAAGATTGAGAAAATTCGTGTTAGAATTATTAATCTTACTTTTTCGGTCATATTTAATAAAATATGTCTACAGGAAAGACTGCTACCAAAATATACTAATATATATATATATATATATATATGTTTGCCCATATTCAGTAAGCAAATTCAGCTTTCTTATTGTCCATTACATCAATATATGAATGATGGTCCTCATCATTACTAAAAATACTGTCTAAACAGGAGAATAAGCTATTTATCCGTATGGTATTATCCACTGTGACTAAATATTTCAACTATGAAAATATTGTATTATGATCACCGTATAAATTAAGGCCTTACATTCATCAAGAGTGATTTATTCCCACCGAATGAACTACTAGACGGCCCAAAGAAAGTTTAAAATTATAGTAAAAGTGCACAAGGCACACCTGTGAGGTAAATGTAGTTTTAAAGTACTGGCAACGGGTGAATGGCCAAACAAAATAGCACCGAGGATCAGAGGAAGAGGACGAGATTTCGTCGAGTGCTGTGACACCGACTTAGGGGCCATGGTACCCGAAAATCCGATGAAACATGGAATATTTACGAAAAATTACGAAAAATACTACAACGTTCTGGCAACACTGTGGTCCAAACCGTTTAATGATATCTTGAAAAATAACGTAATTAGAGTCAAATTTCCCGCTGCAACTTTCGTGAATCTGGTCCTCGCGCCGTGAGTACGCCGCGGGGTATTGTATCTTACGTTGTAGATGTCTTATTTTTCGTAATAGCGTTGAAAATAACATGTTATGCATAAAATGAATATAAACTAACACATATGGCAACAGTATCGTCTGACAGAGAGGGTGGTGCCGTCAGTGACTGCGTGTCTCTCATGGAGAGAGGATGTATGCTGACGTGCTCACACAATATCTCCCAGAACATGCTATTTTTGCTATTTGTACTGCAATATGACTTACCAAACGAACAAGAGAAAAGCATTGACAGCTAGATGCATGCGAGCTCTCCATACGAGCTGGCCGCAATGCGTAAATCACCAGTCACGAGTGACCGCAGGTTGAGTATACTTGTCGAGCGCGCTACGCAACTCCAACTTTTACAACTAGATCTCGTTTCACAGCCTTTATTTATTATTCAATTTACATGAAACTTGCACATTATATGTAGAGTTTACGCCTCTATACACGCATGTCATTATTCTTATCTACGTAGATTTATTGATTTTATAAATAATGATACACTTCATTTTGTTGCATACGTTTTTGGGAAACTTTTATAAATCTGTATTATTGCACTAAATACATCTGGGATAATGATGTGACATGCAAATCTTTATTATATAGTAAAGTCATAGCTGAGTGTCGTATAAATGATTTTGGTTCACAATTGTAGGCTGTGAAATCAATTGAACATGGTTGAAAAATTCTTTTTTTTTTTTTTTTTTTTTTTTTTTCTCCGTCTCTATTTAGGCTGAGATGCTGAAACTTGGCCTAGTTGCAGCACCTTTCACATGTATCAGGATAATAAATTATGAATACCCTACAACAATTTTTTATACCCTGGTGATATGGCCCCTTAGTCGCTATACAATGAGAGGCAAGAGTGGGTAAAGCAGCTAGTCGCAGCCAATCAGCAATAGTGATGCAGTGACGTCATCAGCGAGCACCAAGACGGGACAACAGATTTGCGAATTGAATCACTGGTCTCACAGCTGAGGACAAAGGCAGACGTAGGCGCCAGCACTCCAGGAGAAGATCGCCAGTTTTGCGATAGTGTGGGAAGTTGAATATTACCAGAGGGAGCATTAAGAGTACTTGGACCATAACAGGAGAGGCTGACAACATTTTTGACAGGGTGGAAAAGCAAAAAGTGACAAGGTGGATCGACTGTCGTTTGTGGAACCCAAGAGGGCACTCTTGGTCAGAATAGGGATGTGATTACATCCCCTTCAGATGTTTGTGTATAATGCGAAGAGTGAGGATCGTCCGTCAAGTGTTTGAGGCAGTCCCGACGCAACCCATAAGCCAGTGGGTCGTGGCCATATATGTTGCTGTACAGAAGGAAATGAAGGTAAGAAGAGATTTATAGCATTCAACAGGACGACGGGTAAGTGTAGTGCCAAATACCCTTTTAGCACGAGAGCCAGACCAGTGATTGTTGCGATTATTTTATCAGACAATCCGAAATCACGTTAATCTCCAGTGACACTATATATGATAAATGTTGACACAACCAGTGGAGAGAGTTGATATGTTGGCATAGTTTAACAGTGCAGGCTACACAATTCAGAGACTACGGAGGAAGGTGGAGGTCCCGCGGGGCAACGTACTCTTATGAGAATACAACACATTTGGCGGTAGTGGAGCAGCCTGAGGATACAGCTCTTACTACTATGATAGGAACGAGAGTACTTGAAGACTTCATTGGAGAGGAGCCTTAGTGAGTGAGTGCGACGTCAAGGTTATTATTAGTGAGAGACAGGAGACTAAGAACATGGCCGATGTCACAAATCAGCTGTTGGAGGAATGAAGTGATCAGGGCAGCCGCGGCAACAGCGAGGCAGCTTGACCTAAGTAAAGCTCACCGCTACTGCTGAGGGTAACTCAATTTATTTGGCACTGGACATAGAGGTGTCTGCCTCGATTTAAATAGCAATGTGAGTTAGTGAACATGACTGCCACAGGTAATCACTATCTTAACACCTCACGTTTTACCTAACAAACGTAAGGTAAAATAAAAATTTTACCTGAAAATTTATATTTTCGTATTACTGTTTAGTGCAGAATACTTTATTCATTAATTGTTATTAGCACAGCATTCTTCACATGCTATCAAACCTGTGTTGACACGACCACAACTTTTCACATGCAAAGATTTACAATCACATGAAGCTTATTAGCGGCTCCCAAGCTCTTGCTCTATTGGTGGAAACTTGTTACCTCCACTTAACAGATGGTTTACTCCCATGCTTATATTGTCGGACATTTCCGACACGCCAAATACTAACCCCTAGTACGATGAGATAAATTTATTGTGCTAGGAAATAAAATTGACTAACATTACTAACAAGAAGTATAGTGCCGCCAAATTCTTCCTATTATTCATGGCTGCGATTGCATCAGCCACCCAGTTCCTAGGAGAACAAACTATTTTTATAAATCGAATTAAACCCAGTCTAATCTTTGTTTAATTTACTAGGTAATTTAGACTGGAAATTTATTTAATTCATTAAAAGAAATTATACCTCCTTTTTCTAGGTAGAATTTTCCACAGCCGCCATCAGCTGATTCTGGCAGGATAAAGTCACGAACTGAATATTACCTATGCATATGTGTTGTTCATATAACGACACTTTGGTTCAATAATATAAACAGCGGAAAACTGTCTGTTTATACCTGAAGTGCATTATTACGACGTAAAATAACGTCGGCAATGTCTTATTAGATAGTAAGACAGAGTAAAATATCGTGACTTGTATGTCGAGATTATGCACAGATAGGAAGCTAGGGAATGCGCGCGTCACCTCTGCTGGTGTTCCGAGAAACTCGCCATTTAGCATCGCAAAATATAGGGATCATCCGTGCATTAACGAGTCCCAGACGTTGCTGCCTGCTTCACCTAGCATCGAGGACACCACGTCCGGTTGGATGAGCAATCTTATCATTCTTTATGGCAATAATTACAGTGATAGATTATCCAATCGTTAGGACGTAGGATTATTAAATAAACCTAGTAAGTATAATTCCGTGAAGCGGTTAATTCCTTCAATGGATATTAGTTTATGTAACTGTAGTTCAATAGAAATTACATTTTATGCCTTTCACAGCGTGGAATAAAGGTGACGAGAGCGGATCATCTTGACTGGAGAACCGTATGTCCAAGACACCTTTACATTGAGACAGGATTGTACTGATATAGGAAGACTGTTAGATGCACTTCTCATTATCTACTTAACAGCTGTGTTGATCATTACTTTGTTATGATATTGTAGTTAGTTTACTTACACCATAACCCTTTTTTCCTGATAAATTTTATTATTGAAATTATGCAATATAATGTTTATTAGGTAGATTTAGCAGTTTTAGATCTACCCCCAAAAAGTGTGGAAGTGGAATAATCTAACTAATTATATTCAATTGATACAGTCCCCTTATGTCAAATATTTATCTAGATTTATTAATTGATTTATGATTATAGTAAACTATATGTTGGAAGATTATCCCTACATATAGGTCAATATTCAATCAATATCGGCCACGTTTTGCCAAATTTATATATTTTCTTTCCAATATATTAATCTCAAGTTTGCCCCGAACATCCATTAATTGTCAAACTATCTTCTCGGCAAAGTGCCACAAGAATAACAGGTAACTAAGATAAATTATAACAAATGATCAAGACAAATTGACCAAAATGATCGAGCTACGTCCACTTATAATAGCCAATAGCATTAGTGTTAACTTTGTCAGTGGATTAATTAAAGAGATGGTTGGGGGTCTCCTGCTGAACCCACAATTTAGAGATAATATGAACATTACTGGAACACTAACCTTCGGGGTCAACAGTGTTAATCTCAGCACTGTGGTCCATCAGCAGACTTATCATGTGAAGAGGACTGGCGCTCCATCTGGCCGCAGTGTAAAGGAATGGCAATTCCCCTTTGTACAGCAAGTCTTAACAGAGGATGAAATAGAAAAAAAGTCATAATTTTACAAACTTTTAAATAAATTTATTTTAAAAATTTTCTTATTACAAATATTGTAATAAAATTGTGAAATACGGATAATTTCTTAATTATTATATTTACTGCACTTAGAGATCAGACATCTTAAGAATGTACATTCATGAGCAATGTATACCGTCATGTATTCTGTTGAACAAATAGAATTTGCCAACCATTCAAGCCTTAACACACACACACACACACACACACACACACACACACACACACACACACACACACACACACACACACACACCACACACACACACACACACACACACACACCACACACACACACCACACACACACACACACACCCACACAACACACCACACACACACACACACACACACACCACACCCACCACACACACACACACCACACCACACACACACACACACACACACACCACACACACACACACACACACACACACACACACACACACACCACACACACACACACACCACACACACCACACACAGGAGAGTTGGACTACAGGGAAAGGAGAGTTGACTACAGGAAAGGGGACTATAAGAGGATAAGGGATTATCTGGGTGAAGTGCAGTGGGAGGAAGAAATTAGAGGAAAAACAGTCCAAGATATGATGGACCTAGTCATACAGAAATGCTAGGAGGCCGAAGAGAGATTTATACCAACAATAAAGGGAAAAAAAAGGAAGGAATATAATAACCCATGGTTTAATAGACAGTGTCAGGAAGCAAAAATGGCCAGCAGGCGGGAGTGGAGGAATTACAGAAGACAAAGGACAGAGGACAACAGGATCAGATACAACAGAGCTAGGAACGATTACATTAACATAAGACGAACATCGGAAAGGGACTATGAGAACGATATTGCAATCAAAGCGAAAAAACAACCTAAGTTACTACACAGTCATATAAGAAGAAAATGTCGGTGAACGACCAAGTGACAAGACTAAGGAAGACAGAGGGGGCATATACTGAAAGTGACAAGGAAATCTGCGAGGCACTGAATGCCAGTTTCCATAGAGTGTTCACTATCGAGCCTGAGCAGCTCCCATTGTTGGAAGGGGTTACCCCTAGATGAAAGACTATCAGATATAGAGGTGACAGCAGAGGATGTATGAACAGTTGACAACTCTAGATGCAACTAAAGCAGTTGGACCAGACAACGTATCACCGTGGATACTAAAAGAGCAGCACAGGCCCTCAGCGTGCCTCTGGCAATGATCTTTAATGAGTCACTTATGTCAGGATAATTGCCCAGTTGCTGGAAGAAGGCAAATGTCGTGCCGATCTTCAAGAAAGGTGATAGAGAGGAGGCACTTAACTATAGACCTGTATCACTGACAAGCATCCCTGGTGTAAAATACTGGAAAGAATAATTAGGCTACGACTGGTTGCACACCTTGGAGAACATTAGGTTTGTGACAAACATCAACATGGGTTCTGGACAGGGAAATCGTGCCTAACAAACCTTCTGGAATTCTATGATAAAATAACGAGGATAAGACAGACAGAGATGGTTGGGCAGACTACATATTTCTGGACTGCCAAAAAGCCTTGATACAGTACCGCACATGAGACTGCTGTTCAAGCTCGAGAGGCAGGCGGGGGGGGGGGGAAAGGTCCTAGCATGGATAAAAACTACCTAACAGGAAGGAGCCAAAGAGTTACGGTAAGGGGCGAGAAGTCGGACTGGCGAACAGTAACAAGTGGAGTACCACAAGGATCGGTGCTGGGACCAATTCTATTTCTTGTATATGTTAACGACATGTTTACAGGCGTAGAGTCCTACATGTCGATGTTTGCGGATGACGCAAAGTTGATGAGAGAGTTGTGACATATGAGGATTGCAGGATACTCCAAGTGGACCTGAACAGTTTGCAGAGATGGTCAGAG